AAAAAAACATGTCACCCGACTGTTTTCTATACAGCACCACAATCATTCAACTAAATTCTTTACCTTGACCGTGTCGTTTACGGGCATGTATTCAGAACCTAAGTTCCAGTAATTATTGAAGAACAATATGGGCAAATAGAATCCTCCGATACTGTCAAATTCGACAGCTTGATCCAGAGGTGGAGGAAGAGAACCTGTGCATAGTACATCAGAGTACATCCCAAGAAGCAAACTATGATTTGATTCCACCTTTAGTCCACCTTGTTTGATCGTCAACCAAATTTATTGTGAGGTTGGGATGCCAGAAGTTGAGGATCTAAAAAAACTATTTTCGAATCTCAACTGCAAGTGAGATAATTCACCTCGTAATTCATTGTAGAGGCTTTTTTCAAATCGTCTTCGCTTTGCTCGCTCTTCCCGGTGAGCAAATTGGCTGTGACTTTGTAATGTTTCTTTTTATATTTATTGAGTCGATGCACTCCATGAATCACCTGAAATAAGTAATTTTAGGAATTAGGAACTGTTGTGGCCTCAAAGAAGGCAAGAAAACGAGGATGGTCATACCTCACGTTTGATGAAACTTCTTTCCCTTGGATTAGGTGAGTGTCCTGCCTTTGTTATGAAAACATGTAAGTACAGTGATTGATTTCGCATCAAAGGCTCAGGAGTTGGCAATGTTTTCTCGAAGACGAGAGTTCCATCCTGTAGAAACGCTGAGTATGAGACGTAAAATACGGAAATATCATTACAATATCCTTCACACAAACGTTCCAGAATGAATGAAAATTCAGACATTTTGTATGTTCTACAGCAAGGTTCCGGCTTGGTGCACCTAGATTGTCAGAAGATCAAAATACGTCGCTCGCCGACGACCAACGGAACTCAATAACATATGGAAAACATCATGTTCGCCTTCCGATAATGTCTAATCTCTACCTATCGCGCAATCAAGCGGCTTGACTCTTGTGCCTTTTTTGCTAATTTTACTAATAGGCACACCTTGCGTGTATAAGATAATGATAAAGTTCATGACGTCACTTGATATAATATGAGGAAAACGCTTGAAGAAGAGGAACTCACCTTTTCAGGACCAGCCGAGTAATCACCATATTTAATGTTGAGTTCTTGCCAAAAGGGAGTGCGACCTTCGAAATTTGAGAAACGTTGTTCCTTAACTTAAGAAAGTGATTGACGGCAAAAGGTTGAAGAAAGAAAGCTGACAAATGCGCAGTGAGCATCATGACATTATGCGAGTAAAACCCCGTATGTGATGTGGCTGCGCGAT